GTGTGTGTGTGCGTGTGTGTGTGTGTGTGTGTGTGTGTGTGTACTGTATACGTGGTACACGGGCTCCCTCTAGTGGAAAGAATCAATCGCAAGCAAATTGTAGTTCGCTTTTAACTTCAACGCCTTGCATTTAAATCTTTGTTTTTAAACGCGCTTTGAGTAGAAATTTCTGTAGCAACACCTTTATGTTTACCAGTTACCACAGTGGTTCGATTCTGTCTCCGGCCTTCCTTTGTGGAGTTTGCATGTTCTCTCTGTGTCACGCACGTTGCGTGGTGGTGGTGGACCCCAAAAAGCAGGTAGGAGGGAGGAGCAGGTTGTACTTGAAGAATTGTATTGACAAAATATAGAGAAAATTAAATCCAAAACAAACAAAGTCCAAGGTATCGAACAAAAACCACGGCAGAAGCTAAAAACTATCAATAACAGAAACATGACCGAAACATGATTGACAAACAAACATGACAGCAGCAAAGGGCAACAATGACTCGACAATGAGTGCTCGGGCTGGGAGTCCTTTGAAAGCACAAATTACAAAACAACCAACGGGTGTGCAGCTGCAGGGAGAGCCCTACAGTGTCACCTGTTGGTCTCAAACCGAATCATGACAAAGCGGTCGTTTTTTTTTGTGCTAAAAACGCCTTTCGATACAAAGGCGTTTTTTTCAGCTAAAAACGCCTCACTATACATGATCGTTTTTTTCGGCTAAAAACGCCTGACTATACACAGTCGTTTTTTTGGAGTCAAAAAACGCCTCACTATATTTCGGTAAAAAACGCCTTACTATACACGGTTGTTTATTTTGTGCTAAAAACGCCTTACTATACATAGTCGTTTTTTTTTTTGGAAATATCCATGGCCGTTTTTTTTGGCAAAAAAAGCCTCATTATACGTGGCCATTTTTTTCGGAAAAAAACGCCGTACTATACATGGCCGTTTTTTTCGGCAAAAAAGCCTTACTATACATGGCCTTTTTTTTTCGGCAAAAACGCCTTAATATACATGACCGTTTATTTCGGCAAAAAACACCTTACTATACATGGTCGTTTTTTTCAGCAAAAAACGCGTTACTATACATGGTCGTACTTCTCGGCAAAAAATGCCTTTTTATACATGGCCGTTTTATTCGGCGAAAAACACCATACTATACATGGTAGTTTTTTTCGGCAAAAAACGGCTGACTATATACATGGCCTTTATTTTCAGCAAAAGACGCCTTACTATACATGGTCATTTTCTTCGGCAAAAAAAGCCTTACTATACACGGTTGTTCTTCTCTGCAAAAAACTCCTGATAATACATGGCCGTTTTATTCAGCAAAAAATGCCTTACTATACATGGTCGTTTTTTTCGGCAAAAAAGCCAAACTGTACATGGCCATTTTTTTCGGCACAAAAAGCCTGACGATACATGTCCTTTTTTTTCGGCAAAAACATCGTACTATATATGGCCGTTTTTTTCGGCAAAAAAAAGCCTGACTATACATGGTCGTTTTTTTCGACAAAAAAAGCCTTACTATACATGGCCGTTTTTTTCGGCTAAAAACGCCTTACGATACACGGTTGTTTTTTTGTGTGCTAAAAACGCCTTCCTACACATAGTCGTTTTTTTCGCCTACAAAACCTGACTATACATGGTCTTTTTTTTTTGTGCTAAAAACGCCTTACAATACATGGTCATTTTTTTCGGGTTAAAACGCATTCCTATACATGTTCGTTTTTTTCGTCTAAAAACGCCTCACTATACATGGTCGTTTTTTTCGGCTAAAAACGCCTTAATATACATGGTAAATTTTTTCAGCTAAAAATGCCTTACTATATATGGACGTTTTTTTCGGCTAAAAACGCCTTCTTATACGTGGTCCTTTTTTTCGGCTGAAAAACGCCTTACTATACATGGTCTTTTTTTTCCGATAAAAACGCCTTACTATACATGGTCGTTTTTTTCTTCTAAAATGGCTTACTATACATGGTCATTTTTTCGAGCTAAAAACGCTTTACTATACATGGTCGTTTTTTTCTTTGAAAAACGCCTTACTATACATGGTCATTTTTTTCTTTGAATAAAACGCCTTACTATACATGGTCGTTTTTTTTCCGATAAAAACGCCTTACTATACGTGGTCATTTTTTTCCTTCTAAAATGGCTTACTATACATGGTCGTTTTTTTCGGCTAAAAACGCCTTACTATCCATGGTCGTTTTTTCGGCTAAAAACACCTGACTAGACATGGTCATTTTTTTCTTTGAAAAACGCCTTACTATACATGGTCGTTTTTTCTTCTAAAAATGCCTTACTATACATGGTCGTTTTTTTCGGCTAAAAACGCCTTACTATACACGGTCGTTTTTTTCGTGTAAAAACGCCTTTGTATCCAAAGTCGTTTTTTTCGGCTAAGAACGCCTAACTGTACACGGTCATTTTATTTGGAGTCAAAAAACGCCTTACTATACATGGTCGTTTTTTTCGTCTAAAAACGCCTGACTATACATGGTCATTTTTTTCTTTGAAAAACGCCTTACTATACATGGTCGTTTTTTTTCCGATAAAAACGCCTTACTATACGTGGTCGTTTTTTTCCTTCTAAAATGGCTGACTATACATGGTCGTTTTTTTCGGGTTAAAACGCCTGACTATACATGGTCGTTTCTTCTTCTAAAAATGCCTTACTATATATATGGTCCTTTTTTTCGGCGAAAATCGCCTTACTGCATGGTCGTTTTTTTCTGCTAAAAACGCCTTACTATCCTTGGTCGTTTTTTCGGCTAAAAACGCCTTACTATCCTTGGTCGTTTTTTCGGCTAAAAACGCCTTACTATCCTTGGTCGTTTTTTCGGCTAAAAACGCCTTACTATCCTTGGTCGTTTTTTCGGCTAAAAACGCCTTACTATCCTTGGTCGTTTTTTCGGCTAAAAACGCCTTACTATCCTTGGTCGTTTTTTCGGCTAAAAACGCCTTACTATCCTTGGTCGTTTTTTCGGCTAAAAACGCCTTACTATCCTTGGTCGTTTTTTCGGCTAAAAACGCCTTACTATCCTTGGTCGTTTTTTCGGCTAAAAACGCCTTACTATCCTTGGTCGTTTTTTCGGCTAAAAACGCCTTACTATCCTTGGTCGTTTTTTCGGCTAAAAACGCCTTACTATCCTTGGTCGTTTTTTCGGCTAAAAACGCCTTACTATCCTTGGTCGTTTTTTCGGCTAAAAACGCCTTACTATCCTTGGTCGTTTTTTCGGCTAAAAACGCCTTACTATCCTTGGTCGTTTTTTCGGCTAAAAACGCCTTACTATCCTTGGTCGTTTTTTCGGCTAAAAACGCCTTACTATCCTTGGTCGTTTTTTCGGCTAAAAACGCCTTACTATCCTTGGTCGTTTTTTCGGCTAAAAACGCCTTACTATCCTTGGTCGTTTTTTCGGCTAAAAACGCCTTACTATACATGGTCATTTTTTTCGGCTAAAAATGCCTTACTATATATATGGTCCTTTTTTTCGGCGAAAAACGCCTTACTGCATGGTCGTTTTTTTTCTGATAAAAACGCCTTACTCTACATGGTCGTTTTTTTTCGGCTAAAAACGACTTACTATACATGGTCGTTTTTTCTTCTAAAAAATGCCTTACTATACATGGTCGTTTTTTTCGGCTAAAAACGACTTACTATACACGGTCGTTTTTTTCGTGTAAAAACGCCTTACTATACATGGTCGTTTTTTTCGGGTTGAAACACCTGACTATACATGGTCATTTTTTTTGTGCTAAAAATGCCTTTCTGTACAAAGTAATTTTTTTCGACAAAAAACGCCTTACTATACATGGTCGTTTTTTTCGTCTAAAAACGCCTTATTATACATGGTCGTTTTTTTCTGCTAAAAACACCTTTTATACAAAGTCGTATTTTTCGACAAAAAACGCCTTACTATACGTGGTCGTTTTTTTCTTCTAAAATGGCTTACTATACATGGTCGTTTTTTTTCGGCTAAAATCGCCTTACCATACATGGTCGTTTTTTTGGAGTTAAAAAAACGCCTCACTATACATGGTCGTTTTTTTCTGTTAAAAACGCCTTCCTATACACGGTCGTTTTTTTTGTGCTAAAAACGCCTTTGTATCCAAAGTCGTTTTTTTCGGCTAAGAACGCCTAACTGTACACGGTCATTTTTTTTGGAGTCAAAAAACGCCTCACTATACATGGTCGTTTTTTTCGGCAAAAAACGCCTCACTATACACGGTTGTTTTTTTTTTTTTTGGTGCTAAAATCGCCTTTCTACACATAGTCGTTTTTTTCGGCCAAAACACCTGACTATACATGGTCATTTTTTTGGAGGTAAAAAACGCCTCACTATATATACACATGGTTGTTCTTTTTTCGGCAAAAACACCTTGCTAAACATTGTCGGGTTTTTTTTGGCAAAAAATGTCTTACTATACATCGTCATCTTTTTTGGGTTCCAAAAACTTTGACTTTATGTTGAAAATGTGTTGACGGAGTAAAAATTTCTTTTTTTTTTTTTTTTTTACATGGTCTCTTAATAACTCAAAGTTTCAGATTGTGGATGTTTCTGGAATGTATCTGCGATAAGTGGGAGTTCACTGTTGTCATTTGGTCACTATTACTATTGTTAGTAAAATACAGAAAAAACCAACAAGAATTTAACCAATGAGCCGGATTGTTAGTTGAACAAATTCTGCTCATATAAGGCAATACAAGTATCACGTTTGGGCTTTATATGGCTCAAATTGAAAAAAAAAATCACTCATCTCACCACTTTGGCATGCACAAAAAATGCTTTATTACAAATGTCAAAAAAATACATCCCAAACCAAACAAGGAAATAAATAAGTGTAATAAATAGAGTAAATATTTTCCGTCTTCCTAAATATTAGAATACATGCACGTAGAAATTAGCCAACATAATTGCTGACTGATGTTTACCTTAAGGAGGATGTCTGCAGCTCTGACTGTTTCACGACATATTTCCTCATCTGGAGCTATTTCGAGCTTGTTAATTTTTCCAAATGGAAGCGCAAGATAATGTGAAATGAACAAACCGTGCGGTTTAATTTCCTTCCTTCCTGCCCCTTCCGCATCCTGCTGTCCTTTCTCTCTGCATTTCACATCTCACAATTAGGAAATGTCAATATCAATATGTGACACTTTATTTCTAGAAACCTCTGCTAGTGTTGACATCAAAATTCCTACTTTTACAACATGACTAAAAAAAATTGCAATGGGTGACAATAAGTTTTTTTTTTTTTTTTTTTCGGTAATCTGGCATGATGTTTACTTCAGGTGGTCTCCTGAGGAGAGGTAGCCCATCGCTCGATTGATGGTGATGGCTCGGATGTGGAAGCCTCTCATCATCTTGCACATTTCACGTCGGTTGGTGAAACTGTTGTCTCCCCACATATAGGACGTGTCCTCCTGAAAACACACACACACACACACACACACACACACACACACACACACACACACACACACACACACACACACACACACACACACACACACACACACATTTTTTAAGGCAAGACACACTTAGGCTCAACGATATTAAACATTTTGTTGCGGTCTGGCAGAAACCTTGCGTTGGTCTGCTCCCATGTCATCTGTTTGTCTGTTTTTAGGCACTAATTTGGCAATTTAAAGTGTTGAAAATAGATTGAGAACAAATCTTGAACATTGTCGAAGTGTTCCAAGTGTCATAAAACTGGCTCCTTTCAGGGCTTTGCTGCATTATTTCACCTCAAGACTGAAAGTCTGGATTATTTTTCGAGAAAAACAAATGGAAATACGTAGGTTAGATACATCTGAGTAAGTCCGTTTCGTTAAAAATGGATCGTAAAAGAACTGGTCAGCCATGAAGGTTCTTGCAGAGTAATAAATTCATGGGTTTTTTTGTTTTGTTTTGCTTTTTAATATTATTAACAATTGAACATGATTTGCGTGTAGTCTTGTACTGAAGTTAATTAGCAACAGTATAAGATAGCAATACACGGTGTAACACTAATTTAAGGATGCCGTTTTTGGTCACTCAAGCAAGATGCTGTTTCTTGATTTTTTTTTTAAAGTAATGATTTTGGAGATGGGATAATTTCACCCAACGGCAATTAGTTTTGTTTGATCATTGCGTCCTATTTTGTTAATTAATTTCAGTATGGCCCTCGTGTCACTTTATAAAAAATGGAAACAGCACCTGGTAGGAAAAAGGTTCCGCAGCCTTTCTCTTACTGCTACATATACATCCCTTACTCTCTCTCTCTCCATATAAGAGGAACTGGGATACCAACAGCCAGAGGGAATATTAAAAAAAATAATACCAATCAAAAATTACCTCTGCAGGGTTCATGCCTCGAGCGACTTTCAACAAACAGTTCTGTGAAAAACAAACAGACAAACAAACAAAAATAGGTTCTCTTTATAACATTCGTGTCTTGATCCTACGGATGTCTTCTACTCTTCAAAACAAAGGCGTACCTTCAAGTTGTGGATGATCTCGAGTGTTGGGCTCAGAAGTGCCGTTTCTTCTTCAGGGCTCCTGAGTGTCAACTTGAGGTAGGACTGAATGAGGGCATCATAGTGGACCATGTCCTTCATGATGCTTGACACACACTCACTCTGTGTAGATCAAAAGCCGTGCGTCACTTCTGCATTCTTCAACATACATTCTCATATCCTAGCGTGAACGCAATTTTTGATACAGCTCTTCTGCAAAGTAGCCATAAGTGTATGTAGTCACTTAACATCAAGATACATGCTCAAGTTACCTCGCTGAAGGATGTATTTCTTTGTGCCATGCAGCTGAAATTCTGTGGTGGAAAAAAAAGAGTGTCATCGAGGAGAAAAAAAAAAACCCAAAAAGAATATGGTGGAAAAAAAAGGTGAAAAAAAATATAACCACAAAGCATGAAAGAAAAAGATCGGCCCGATTAATTAATTGGCTGGGCTGATTTAATCAAACCAATATTAGCTCTTCCTACACTTAAAAAAAGTGCTGCATTTCCTCAATTGTATTTCGTCAAGTGGTTGCATGAAACAAAATCATCCGAATCCAGATATATATTTTTAAATAGACCATATATCTAGCTTTAAAAAATGTAATCCATGATGAGAAGATTTTATTTTGTGTGACCACTTCACAAAATAAAATTGATTGAATTTAATCACCATTTCTTTTTCTGTCATATTTATGTGCAAATCATTTGGCTCCAGTGGGCTAGAGCTTTTTTTTTTTTTTTTTTTTTTTTAGCACAGTGTTAATCTTCAAATTACATTATGTCACAGTGGATTACGATTACAAATACAGCTCTGAATTTAATAATTGAACTTTTAAAAATTTTGCCTAAGGATGAAATTGATGCCTACAACTTACACTTAAGTAACAGTACACACACTGTATATTAAAAAAAGAAAAGTATGCCTTCAAAATAAAAGTTTTGAACAATAGTTCCAATTTCACAAGGCAAAAACGTGTCACCTCTTGCACATTCGGCGCGCAGGCTTGCACCGTCTCAGCCGAGCTGCTTACGGTTGCTTTGTCATTTGGCTTGAGACCGTAACACAAAACGTTCTTCGAAACACAAACAAAAACATACTTCAGTACATAAAAATGATGCACAGAGGAGTTTGAAGCACTGCCGATGATTATAATAAGAATTGAGAAAAAAAAAAGATAAATACTCACACCGCTGAGGAGCCCCGTGATATTTCTCAAGAGGCTGACGAAGAGCGCGGAGCATTTTTTGCACTCTTCGGAGCTCAGCTGCGCCTGCACGGGCAGTGACGTAGCGGGGCGCCACTTTAGCGTGGACGTGACGAGCAAACAGCTGATCACAACTGAAGGAAAGAGAAACATTTCAAGTCAAGAACTCCGTTTGAACGTGCACCGAACAGCATGCCATGTCTTATCTGACTCACAGAAATGGATGTTTGCCATGTTTGCCTTGTGTGTGCAATGAAGTGGCTCCGTTTTACCTGACACGGATTTTTATGTTGTTCTTTGGATTCCTCTCAGGGGGGCGGGGGGACATTCCCGGTGTCGCCGTTGAGGAGAGTCAAACGCGGGGTGAGAGCAAAAGGAAACCCAAAAGCTATTATGTCATTTCCTCATTTAAAACGTGCAAAAAAAAAAAAAAAAAAAAAAAAAGGAAGTCGGTGTGTTGAAGACAGTAGCAGTGGGAAAAAGTTGGTTAAAGTCGTGGTGACTAATTTTTGCGCAGACTCCCGGTGCAGAGGCGTTTGTTTTGGCCGCTGGGTTTCGTGGGTGCGTAAAATTCACACATGAGCAATGGCAGTTTTTCTTTTAAACTCCAGGGGGCGCACAAGCGGCATTATATTATTTGTATGAAAGAATATTTTCATTAAACATAAAATGCCTGTCTATAATTCGAAAAGTGACCGGGTCTTCGTCAAATTGTACACCAAAAAAATGGTGTGTAGAATTATTTCAATTGTATTCTGTCAAACGGTAGCACAAAATAAAACCATCTGGATCCAGACACGTTAGTTTTAAGTAGATGTATTACGTTTTTTTTGAAGTACATGTAGAGTCCACTAAATGGACTTGGATCCAGATGATTTCATTAAGGGTAACCACTTGACAAAACAAAATGGAGTAAATTCAACAAAAAACTTTCTTTCAGTGGATAGGATGCAAAAGAATCACTGAATTGAAAACAAATAAGTGAGGTACACGGATTGTATTAGAATAAATGAAAATGGTCTGCAATGCCAAGAAAATGAAAGGAGATACAAATTAATGTATATCTACAGTTTATTTTGTATTCAAATTTAAATGACATTTAATCTTTAAACACTGTTTTGGAAATCCTATGTGCGATACATTTTAACCCGAGTTTTTCTCTTGTCCTGTATTTTTATTCCTTTACTTCTTGATATAATTATCATGACCATGATTTAAATTTTTTTTGTAATTTTCTTTTTAAATTAAAATGTTTCCCCGTACTATGGAAGCATATCGGTTGCATATTATCGTGATAAATTTCATGTTTTAATGTGTAGCGTGAAATATTTGACTTTTACATTTTGGCAAAACAAAGCAATTCCTTCCGGTTCAGGCTAAGTGAATAATATCGTACACCATGTATCGAGATAATATCGATTCATCTTTTATGAGAGAAGCTCACCGGGTACAAATCCTTGTAAATTGGTTTAATCATTATAAAATTGGTTTTAACGTTGGGGCTGATTTATTTCTTTTCTTTGAATTTAATTAACTTGAATAGATTGGGATTTGGAGAGCTTTTACTGGCGTTGCATATTATTAAACATGGCAAAAACTTCAAATTATAGTCCCACTGAAATGAACCGAATTGTTACACTTAAAAATGGACAGTTTACGCATTGTATTGTGCTCCACGTTGAAAATGCTCATCCATTGGCAAAAACAACACATTAAATGCATTCAACAAAACAGATGAACAGATGCATGATGTTCAAAAATAGCCCTTTTTTGTTTTCCAAAGTGAATGTGAAAATTTCCTCCAGATTTGAAACATGACATCACTCACTCCGTGCATCTCCCGGTCTCTCTCTCTCTCTGCTGACCACATGAAAGAAATCCCTTGCGTCAGACGAGTGATGTATTTGTCTGCGTTCAAGACTCAAAGAGAACGAGAGCACATCGGCAGTGAGCGAGTGTCAGACGACAGGAGTTTCCTGGCCTTCAACCAGTGAAACCGAACTTGGGCATCATTCAGTCAGCGCACACGGAGGATGTCCCATGTGAACGCTGGCGGTAAACACTTGCGGTGAACACCTCAACTGCGAAAGAGGAAGTGTTAAGCAAATGAGAGCGCGGCAGGGGCCAGCGTATATGAAACAAAGTTTATTCTTAATTTACATATCTGTACATAAACACGTTCTTCCCTCAAATAAAGTTTCTGAACACAGCAGGATGAAAACGATATGAACACACCGATTCTTTTGGAAAATGACTCGTGTCCGAAAAAAAAAAAAAAAATTAAAATCAACATTCACATAATGTTGAAGAGCAATTCGAGTGAATGTATTTACCAAAAGCTACGACTCCACTACAAGGCAGGCATGTTTCCTTCACACTCTTTTAGCACCTTCAAATAAACATTTATCAGTTGAAAACTACCATTTGTGCAGAATAAAAACAGGTTGAAATACTTTACAGTCCAACTTAAAATGCTCCGAAGATAATTAGCCATCATTTTTTTTCTTTAGACAGTGTTGTTTCTTTTTCTTACTCTTTTTTTTTTATTTTTTATTTTTTTTAAATCTTAAGACTGACTTTCTACTAAAGTTTTCACTATGACTTGACTTTTTTTTTCCCACAATTTTTGCATTTGACAGTAATAATTTAGCGGCGAATGTAGAAATTTGTAAGGAAACGAGAGCAAAGCAAGGCCGATCACTGCACAGGAAGCTGGGACAGAATCCATGACAATACACAATCCCTCTCCTCTCCTCCTCCTTTTGGGGGAAGTATCCCCTGGATTTAAGCAACGCAAGCAGATGAAAGATGGAGGCGGTCTTCTGTGCAGGCGATTGAGGCATCGGGAGAAAGCGGGGAAGCAGCGAAAGGAGACGAGCGGGTAAATTTGGATCAAAATGGAGGCGTCATGGTTTGGCGAGGTTCATTTTGGTTCAGGCGGTGGAGGGTTGGCAGGTGGTGAGCGGTGAAGGTGGAACGGCGACAGGGGGGTGGGGACCGCATCTTATTTGGATAGGGTCTTCTCAGCCAAATGTTTCTGTTGGCTCTCAGCATGCCTGGGAGGAAGACAAAGACAAAAATATGCTTGGTTGTCGTCCATGTGGTACAGAAGCCATCCAATCCTAAATCCAGTTGTGGGTCATTTATTCCATGGAATTGTATTTTGTGTGTTCCCCGCTTGAAAATTGTGCTTTCGGGAAGACTTCAAGATGCCACAAGATGGCCACAAAATGGTGACCGGTGATTTAGGTCAAATTATGATGCGGTGGAATTTACATTTATTCCATCCATCCATCCATTTTCCAATCTGCTTATCCTCACAAGGGTCATGGGGCGTGCTGGTAACTAACCCAGCTGTCTTCGGGCTGTAGACAGTTGCCAGTCAACTCACACCTGTAGACAGTTTAGAGTGCTCCATTAACCTGCCACCCATGTTTTTGGAATGTGGGAAGAAACCAGAGTAACCGGAGAAAACCCACGCAGGCACGGGGCCAACATGCAAACTCCACTAACCAGTCGACCACCGGGCCGGCCTACATTCATTCCCGACGGGGCAAAACCCTAATCCGAAACAAACCTAAACCGTAATAACAACCACAAAGCTCAATATTAACCATTCGGCTCAATAAAGGTCCCTCACCTGGTGAGATCCTCGATGTCGACCAGCATAGCATCTTGTTCCATGTGACGCTCATCTCTGACCACCAGCAGCTGGACTAACTCTTCGTTCAGACCTACACAGCACAGACAAGATGAGAAAGAGTCAACACCAGACACATGATACATCCATATAGCGTAGGACATTGGAGTTTTTCCAAGCTGACTTTATAGAGGGATCGCCAGAACATAGCTGCGTCCCGGCTTCAAACTACTCGTGTCTGTTTATTCATTCATAACCCTTTTTTTATGGTATTACCAAGAGCATAAACACTTCTGAAAATATTTGACAGTGACAGCAATATAATGTGATAACTTTAAGATGACCAAGATGCATGTTCAAATGTTGTGATTGATTCTCATTTAAAACAATGACGAATAGATCAAAACAACACGAAAAAAAAAAAACTCACTGCCCGTAAGGACGTCAACTGCAGGCAGTGCTGTGGTGTCAAACCACATGTTTCAGGTACTGATCCCTGAGGAACCCCAGCAAAAGAGTGTGCTTTGGCAGTGCCAAATCAGCTCACAGTTTTGGACTTGTGGGGACTTTTATTGTGTTTTTTTTTTTTGTTTTGGGGTTTTTTTTTGTGTGCATGGTGCGATATTATTTCCTGCAAAGTTGAAAGGTGAATGGCTTCAGTGACACTAAATTCTACATTGTAAAAAAATCACTATAAACAGTCGAAGTTGTTTCTGCAAAGTACTTATATCTTGGTGGACAATACAAGGAAGCATAAATTCTGCAAATTCATTTCTTTGGTGTGAAATACAGGAAAGCCATTTTTCACAAGAGCAAAGCTAAAAATATCTTGTTGGACTCCCCAACATAAAATCTTTGTCAAAGTTTGTTGCCTTGAAATTTTGAGTTCAACTATTTTTTTTTTTTTAACAGAGTAGGACAAAGAAAACACACTAAAAAACAACAAAAAAACAGCTTAAAATGAGTGACACATTTGAGGGTTTCTGCAAATAAAAGTAGAATTTAGAGCTACAATAGTGTGTTTTACTGCACAGCGTATGAAGAGAGCACGCGTCGACTCACTCTCGATCTGGGAGTGCAGATCGTTGACGATAACCTGGAGTTGCCCCAGCGTCATGTCCCTCAGGTCGGCGGGCTTCAGGCTTCTTTTCATGAGACATTCACTGATGTGAGGCATGTGTGGGAGCTGCCGGACAAACAAAAGAACGGGCTGAATACAAAAGACAAGTTTCCGAAACATGACACATTGTTTCCGTTTCTGACCAACACATAAGTTGAACGGAAACAGTTCAAAATCTAAAAATGTGACTTGATATTCAGAAATGATGGTTTTATGTGCGTGGCTGGAACAGTGTCGAGGTAGAACATTCGCCGCGCAGTCCTGAAATTGCAGGTTCGCTTCCCAAAGAATGTTTATAAGGATAACTGAGGCTGGCAACCGGTTCAGGGTGTCCCCCGCCTACTGCCCGAAGACGGCTGGGATGGGCACCCCCCGCGACCCTTGTGACGATAAGCGGATCGGAAAATGGCTGGATTGAACAGTATAGGGTAAAAACAAAACACCAGTAAACATAATATCTGAGTGACGGGATATGAATTTTCAACCCGCTGCCCTAAATGATGTGACATTAATAAATGTCAATATTCCGTATTTGCCAATATCACAGGTAAAAATGGCTGCAAATGGGGGAAGAATCGTTTATTTCGAATCAGATTTGCTCCTTTTGAAGCAGGTCACAATATGTGCCATGTGAGAAACGTCTTCGGAAGAAAAATGAGGAGCAAATGAACTCAACGACACTGTCATGTTAGAATTGAGCACTAGAGCAGGGGTCCCCAACCGCTGGGCCGCGGACCGGTACCGGTCCGCAGGGCATTTGGATACTTATTGTGTTCAAACATGATTGAAATCTTTTGCACTTCCTTTCATGGGAAAATGATTTGTGAGTTCATCTACTCAGCAGTTGTTGCATGTTTTCAATCGGTAACAATAAAAGTCACGGGAGCTGACACAGCCTGCATCATTTCTAGTTATCCCTCCCATCCCCCATGAGAGCAGCTAAATAACCACACTGGTCATATTTGCACGACCGCTCACTAGTTTCCCGGCAACCTTTCACTTTCACATTTTCACCGTGTCAGTTTCGCTTCAGAGTGGTTGACAGTCGTCATGTCATACAATAAAAACACACGAGTGGGCGATGTGGAGAAAAGTTAGTTCTATCTTAGATTCAATCTGTTGATCAAACCGTGCAAGTTTCTGTCACAAGATTATATCGTGGAATGAGTGACAGCTCAAATGCCAGTAAATCAACCAGTGACAATGAGTCAAAGCCACAGTGAGGAACTATCAGGACACGGTCTTGACTCTCACTGGGTCGAGCAACTAAAACACACGTTTGGAGTGCTGCATTTGTGACATTTAGTTTGTGAGTAAGCAGGCTACTTCCTGGTTCATTACAGATGAAAACTGGCTGAAAATAACAATGTCATATTTCTTAAAATATAATATAATGTTATGTGATGAACAGTGGACAATTGACAGAAATAAATGTCTTTTTTTTCCAGAAAAAGAGAGAATACAGTTGTACTTTTGAGACTTCATTTGAAATTTCCAAGAAAAAAAGGAAAGAAAAATAAAGCACTACTGCAATCTGATGAACAGTGGACAATTGATAGAAATAAATGGGATTTTTTTTCCAGAAAAAGAGAGAATACAGTTGTGCTTTTGAGACTTCATTTGAAATTTCCAAGAAAAAAGGAAAGAAAAATAAAGCACTACTGCAATCTTCTATCCAATGTTTCATCGATGAAAACAAAGTAGAATTGTATTTAAAATCAAGGAAAACTTGTTTTTTTACATGACTACTAATCAAAAAAAATCTCATTTTTAATCCAAAAAGTCAGAATTCCAGAGATAAAATTCAAATTTGATCAGAATGCATTTGTAATATTAAGTGAAAAAAGATCAGAAAGAAAAAAAAGATTGTCGGATTATGAGAATCTAAGTATGCCTGTGAAAAGACGATTTGGACTTTTTTCTTCAAACAAACTGACATATTCTTTCAGTTGTTTATTTTTATGTCCCCTCTCGAAAATATATATATATATTTTTTAATTTCACTTGAATTGTACAGGTCATAGGTCACATTAATGGGAGAATGTCTATTTCTTTTACACTGAAAAAAAAACAACTGGCATTTGAACAGCAGGTGTGTCGACTTTCTATCCACTCTGCATTCCAGTTTGATGGATTTGTTTTTATTGAGTGCATGTTGCAGGCATCCGTGGCCTTAATTCACTTTAAGATTCTTTGTGTGTTCAGTGGAGATGTGACAACGATGCTCTCTGACTGTTGAGCACTGCTCCGTTCATCACCACACCAGTCAATGCTTTCCGCTGGATGAATTATGGATGCAGCGGGGCCTGAACTCCCTCCACTTCCCTGAATAAATAAAGCCTGCAAATCCGTATGGAAATACGACCTGTGCACATATGACGACGCCGTTGTTATGTGTATGTGTGTGTGTGTGTGTGTGTGTGTGTGTGTGTGTGTGTGTGTGTGTGTGTGTGTGTGTGTGTGTGTGTGTGTGTGTGTGTGTGTGGGCGTTGAGACTTCGGGACGCAGCGAGCAAAAAAAAAAAAAAAGAATGAAATAATGATGAACGTGGTCTTACTTCCTCTAAATGTAGACTTTCTGTAACGTGGTCAAAAGATGGAAAAAGCCTGTTCCGATTAAACATCCACGGGCCACAATATTAGGGACAGCCGCACAATTCAATGATGCTCAGTTTAGATCGAAACCTTCTGAAGAGGTTTGATGTGGGTTAATTTGCAGCGGTGCAGAATTTGATTCGCTTTCATCTAACGGTAACCAAGACATAAGGAACAAGGTTCAAATATTACACGAGTAAAGCATTGCTTTAGATTAATTGATGAAATAATTTAAATAAATATAAAGTTCAGTAGCTATTCGCCGAGGGGGAGAGACTGGGCTGGCCCACAAGTAGCGTAAACCTGCAAATAATTGATGCCCATTGATATGGATTGCGGGGGGAAAAAAAATTATAATAGTTTTTCTAAACCCCTGACAATTCCTGAAATGACGCTTATAAACCTCCAATATGAATATTTCACGAAAAACAAAGGTAACACTCAAAGCAAATAAATAAAAAACATAGATAAAAGTTTTTTTTTAAAAATCCAGGAATGGGTGAATGTACAGGTGCCAGAAGGCGAGTATGCGGGGTTGACTGTATATATTTAAAATGCGGAATAAAGTGAATAAAGGTTTTCATGAATTATATATCCATTGGAATGTCATTAATTTTACTTGAACATGTATTTCAAACATTTCAAAATAAATTTAGAAGAAGGAGGTCAGCAGACATTTAATTTAATTTGATTTCATTACAATTTAATATTCATCATTTTGATGCTTCATGACAAAAAAGCATGAATTTTACCAAAGCTCAATCGTAACTTTACACGTAGACTGTTGTATAATTCATTCGTGTATGATGATAGTCATCAAAATTTTGAAAGATTTGAATAGTTTACAGAAACTGTAGAAGGCAGAATACAATAAATAGAGGTGCACTGAAACGAGAATTAACTGAGATGCTTCATGTAAAAAATGTATTCCAAGCTTTTATTGATATTGAATTTATCCCTATATTATCATCATACACAATTTCAAATGATGTCGATTACAGTATTTATATAAACCAAAAGCATACAGATGTGTCGAATAAAATGAATGAAGGCTGAAATAATAACAAAAATCAATGATGAAAAACTGGAAAAAAATATCTTAATCAATTGTTAGTTTTTTTTCTGGTACTATCTGCTGAATTTATAATATGACCATTAATTGTATGTAAATGTCATGAATTTAGATGAAATGAAAACAAATTTAAATGTACAATAGATCGAATGAAAAGTACCGTATTTTCCGCACTAAAAGGCGCACCTAAAAGCCTTCCATTTTCTGAAAAGCTCACAGCGCGCCTTAAAATCCGATGCGCCTTGTGTATGGTCATTGCGGTAATATTTCGACCCCAAAATGGCCCCTTGCTCGAGACATGCTGACAACGCAGAGTTCAAACTTAAGGCGATCGGTTACGCAGTTGACCACGGAAATAGAGCCGCGGCAAGAGAGTTCAACGTTAACAAGTCAATGTTATAACTTGCTGTTGGTTAAGTGAACTGTGTCGCTGCTTTATTAAATACGTTTTACTGACATCTGATCGTTCTGATGGCGTTTCTTTGAGCGTAGCTCCATCTAGTGGAGGCATTGTAGATTGCGTCTTATAATGCGGTGCATCCAATATATGAAAAAAACGACAATAGGCCATTCATTGAACATGCGCCTCATAATCCAGTGCGCCTTTTAGTGAGGAAAATACAGTGTGCAGAAAGGAGAATCTACAAGCACCAAAATACACATACACACAGACTCAAACAAAATCAAGCCTCGCATTGTTTGTATTCTATTGACCGCATATCCAGAGAGGCAATCCGCAATATCCTACCCTCCGAAAACACAAAAAGTAGCGTGCCACTCACCAGATCGACCACGGGTGACTTTTTGCGGTTCTGTTTCTCCACCTCCACCTGCATCTTAGCCATGGGCTTGGCCATGGCCAGCGCCAGCTTGGCCTCCGCCTGGAGCTTCTTCTGCCGACTCAGGAAGTCCATGTCCTCCAGGGACTCGGAATCTTCCTCAGTGGTGTCCCGGTCCGAGTAGGATGAACTCTGCTTGGACTGCGCCGGAGAGCGTCAGGCCGGGAAAAAGAAGAGAGAAAAAGAAACATCCAGGATTTATATTCTGCACTTGTGGTGTACGGTTGTTTTATCTGTCCTCCTGTATGCGCCGAAAGTGATGAAGCCTGCACCGATGAGAGGTGAAACAATCACACGATAAAAACAATCCGTCTGGTTGTTGTCCCCATTTTTGCCACTGACCAAAGATGTCAAAGGCCCGCGTCTTATAAGATTGTCCTATAAGATGATCCTTCTGTCTGAAGCGTGATAATGTCCCGATAATGGGGTCCGAAACGAGTTGGCCTGACAGGATTAAATATTCAACGTTTTTTGTACGACCAAAGATATTCATTTTTATGGGGAAAGCAAGATTATTTTTGAGTCATTTGATGAAGATGCTCCCTCCTCCGTTCTTTTTCGGAAACAGTTTTCAGACACATTGGCACATATCTGGGAGTGTCTGTTTTTTTTGTTTTTTTTTTTTAAATTTTTGAGAGATCATGTGTGATCGCACGAGATTTGGGACTCGGAGGACTTGGTTCGATATCAGTGGTGGCAGAGAGTCTGTGTGTGGTGTGTTGAGATTATCAAAAGACACCAAACTCAGTTTGGCTGAACAGTTTAGCAAAATAATCTGATTGCAACCCCCCCCCCCCCATCAATCTTCCCATGTATTTTTTTGAACACACACATGCAATAAACCAATGTGAGTTATGAATTACTGACTTATGTTTGTGTCACACTTATATGGTCGAATTTTAATGAAGCTGCTTAAAAGACAAAGTGTTGAATAAATTAGCAACTCTTCGTAGAGTTGTAGAGAAGTAAATTACCTTTCACAATAATTAAAGCATCATTTGCCTTTATTTTTGTGAAACCCTAACCTATAAGACCTTTTATAAACAATATCTGATGTCGTTTGTTGTAATACAGATGAATTTATTGCTTGTACATGGTAAGAGGACCTTGAAAAAAAAATATTAACCCTTTCAGGGACAGTGGTTACAGTGGACAGTTTATCAGGTGACAGGTTATCATTATTTGGGCATGAAAGGATTGAATCGCAATTGCAATACTGAGAATAAAAATGTCACCTAAATGATCTTTCTCAATTGTTCAGCTCAAATATTTGCTTACTTTTCTGTTCTGTGCTTTTCCATACAAACGCCACTGACTTCACATCGTTGGTAATTGCTGTACATCAACAGAAGAGGAAGGATGAGCATTTCTTTCTCTTTGTGTTAACTGTGTTTCAGGATGACAGAAGCTTAATGTGTCCAGCCATCCGTGGGCTGGCTGAGCGGATTCCATTTCATTCCTCATTTGCAGCCCGGGAATTGGTTAACGGGCTAGAAAACCTGAGCGCACACATCCATATGGCCGCTAAACCCAAGAGACCTACTGACCCCGGTCAAGTCTGGGGTCAAGGTGAGCCTACCATGGGGGACAGAGGCGTATCCAGGCTGGTCTCCGTCTTGCTGTCGTCCGCATCGCTGTCCTTGTCGCTGCCGCTGTCGTTGACGAAGCAGATCTGTAGGTTCATGCCGCTCTGGAGCCTGCAGGAAGGAGGGAAGCACGGCGAGATGGCGATTCTATTCAATAAGACTCTCTCAATACGTTCTCGGCGCGATGCAGTAAACGTGATGGCCGAGTCCATCAAAATGCAGCATTATCATTGTTATGAATGCAAAATGTTTGATTCTCCTGAATTGGGGATCATTAGGCAGCACCAGCAGAGGCCTTTCCGCTTTAACACGATCAGAAGCACTGACCTTACAACCTGTATGAAAGGGCGGCCCCGGTGGTCCAGTGGTGAGCGCGTCGACCTCACAGTGCGGAGGTACTGGGTTCAATTCCAGCTCCAGCCTCGCTGTGTGGAGTTTGCATGTTCTCCCCGGGCCTGCGTGGGTTTTCTCCGGGTATTCCGATTTCCTCCCACATTCCAAAAAAATGCATGGCAGATTAATGGAACACTCAACATTGTCCCTAGGTGTGAGGGTGAGAGTGTATGGTTGTTTGTCTCTGTGTGCCATGTGATTGATTGGCTGGCAACCAGTTCAGGGTGTCCCCCGCCAATTGCCCGAAGACAGCTGGGATTGGCTCCAACACCCCCCTTGTGAGGATAAGCGGATCGGATTTTCCAATCCGGTGGCCAGCCAATCACAGGGCACCCAACACAGAGACAAACAACCATCCACTCTTACACCTTGGGACAATTTGGAGTGTTCAATCAGCCTGCCATGCGTGTTTTTGGAATGTAGGAGGAAACCGGAGGACCCGGAGAAAACCCACTCAGGCCCGGGGAGAACATGCAAACTACACACAAGTACTGCACTGTGACATCGACGCGCAAACCACTGGACCACCGGGCCGCCCTGCACTTAATTCATTCAAAATCTATTACTGAACACATAAACATGAAATCAAAATTGTACCTATATAACAAAAAAAGAAAACGTGAAAAACAGAACCGGTCTTAATTTTTAAATGCACATGTACTGAGCTTAAAAGTCAAATACTGTACAACAGAACAGGCAGTCATTATTTTTTGGACCACCAGAGGGAGCCTGCCGACCACACATTGAAAATCACTGCTGCCGACGACGACGCTCGACCAGGAACCTTCAGAATGGTGCATAAGTATTGTGTTATGTGATATAAAAACAACAACAGCAGATTTTCATTGCTAATACCTGAACCCAGCCGCTTACAATCTTTTGCCACGTTCTTATGTCACAAGATATCCATTCAACAAATCAAAACTTCACTTCACCTCAAAATTGAATCATTTGACGTTAACAGAAATTTGACAGCTAGAAATCGATGGATGAACGTGTGTCAACAACTGACAATAACAAAATGACGAACATATTAAATTGTAGAGGTACTGATTGTAATTCACAACACTGCCTCATTGTGGGATTGGGCCCTGTTGTTATACATCATAAATGAGGGTGATTCATTCGAATCAAGGGACATTAAGTTTCACTGAAGTATTCATAACATCAGTTCCAGGAAGGCAGAGGAGTGACCAGAATGCATGTGTACTGTATGTGTATGTGTGTGTTGTATCAAAAAGTGCATTTCCCATCTGCCTTCATCCTGTCTGTTTTTACTGCTGTCTTTACCTGTCAATAATGGAATGACAGTAACGTTACCGTGACGAAAGGCTAGGCTTGCCGCTCTTGCTGCAGCTAGTGTAGATGCCAGGCCCATCGTCGAAGAAACTGCCCAGGGCCAACTTCTGCCTAATAGACTCCCTCTCATTCTTTTGGGCCTGAAACACAAGAGAAAACAACTTTTTTTGAGAACCTCACGTTGTCATGGCAGCTAGAACTTTATTTTTAGGCCGTGACACAATTTTTCGCTTTCTTACATGGCCGGTGTATTTATAGCAGCGGCCTCTTAATTTGCACTGAGAGTCTGGGTGTCATTTTAACAAGATGTGAAACAAAGTGTGGACTCAGCTGAACCAGCGAAGAGTGTGAATTCGATTCAGAATGGCCTTGGAAATATTAGACAAGACATTTTCACAAGTAGGTGGTGCTGTTGCATCAAAGAACACACATCCATTCATATAAACAGCACAGCACCAAGTTTACGTGAGGTAATTTCGAATACCAGTTTGGGTCATGTGGTAAACATACAATATTAGTAGGCTTTCATAAATATCCTTTACCCTCATTCATTTGTGATCCAGCACTTAGATCATATCGGACTAGATCACAGACACACACACACACACACACACACACACACACACACACACACACACACACACACACACGCTCATGCGTGTGTGCGTGTGTGTATATGTGCAATAGGGCAGCCCGGTGGACCAGTGGTTAGCGCATCGACCTCACAGTGCAGAGGTATCGGGTTCGATTCCTGCTCCGGCCTCCCTGTGTGGAGTTTGCATGTGTTCTCCCCAGGCCTGCGTGGGTTTTCTCCGGGTACTGCGGTTTCCTCCCACATTCCAAAATCATGCATGGCAGGCTGAATGAACACTCAGTCTAAATAGTCCCGAGGTGTGAGTGTATTTCGTCGAAGTGTGCCCTGCGATTGGCTGGCAAGCAGTTCAGGGTGTCCCCCGCCTACTGCCCGAAGACAGCTGGCATCGGCTCCAGCATGCCAAGCGACCCTTGTGAGGATAAAGTGGATCCGAAAATGGATGGATGGTTATATGCGCAATATGGTGCGGGAATTTCTCATCAAGCAAAACTCAATTAAGGTTGAGGGGAATATGTGTCAGTCAATCCACTTTACAGCAATGTTCAAATAACCATCAGATCCCATCACAAAGTGAAGGCAGGCGTGAAGAGGCTCATAGTTTATGTGACAATCAAATGCATGACATCAAGATGCAATTCATAAAAACCCACTAAAGCCAACAATTAACTCACGCTTGTGACAATGCTGCCATGAATCTATTAGCAAACAATACATGCATAAGGCACCACCAGTGCTGCAAATTCAAGGGGAAAAAAATCAGAGATGAATAACTGCTGGTCTTTAGACTCACTTATTTTGCTTAAGTCATTACTTTTATAATTAAGATACTCTATAGTTCCAGTGAACGGTGCATTGCATGTGTTTAGATCAGGGATGGGCAACTTAAATCCTGGAGATGGCCACACATTTTTGTGAGCGCTACCACACTGGACCATTGGTCTGTTTTTTTTTCTGAAATAATGTATACCCCAGGATCATAATTAATTTCATGTTGAAAGGCTTGTGTAAAAAAAAAAAATCTCTTCAACAACAAAGGGTTTGAGGCAACAAACAATGTCAATAACTACATAGTGTTGATTATATTTTTTCCCAGTGCAGAAGGCTCTCATGCATAAAAATTACCATTCAAACGAACTGTCAACGGTTCGTGTGGAGAAAACAATTGCTGTTGTGTACTTTTAATTTGAAAGATTGGCAGCATCTGTATATTTCGCACATTAACTAAGTTCCCAGCACAAATTGTGCCATTCAATGCTGGATTTTTGCCGTCAGGACGTCATTCATCATCGTTTCTGTGTGTTTTTGTCTTTGAATTGCCCAGCCCTGGTTTAGATGATGGCTTCCTTTTCAACAAACATTTTCAATTTAAAACAGCCAAAAGTGACTAAAGCATTAAAATACCACCCGATTTAATTTCAAAGTCACTCCAGAATGTCCTTTCGGCTCAGGAAAAACATTGTCAGAGGAACACAAATCTGCATGTCAATGAGTGAGCCTGAAAACGTTTCACATGGCTCAGAGGTCATGTTTGCGTCTCACACCTGCTGCACAAAAGAACTTCCCGTCTTTGTCTAAACATCATCCACTCTGTTTGTGCGCTTGGGTGGGCCGGGTGAGGGAAAACAGATGTTGTAAAGTATTTACGGAGGTGTGGAATACAACGCTGTGGGGCCTCGGTGCCAATCGGGAAGCCGACACGCGCCGCTGCTTGTTTTGCTTCCGCACTCATCAGCCGGCTTGCCTTAATGCGGCGTGTCGAACTTTACATAAACTGCCGTGGAAGTACACCAGCGTATGGAATTGCAAAGTAATCAAATGAAAACAGCATATCAGTGCGTTGTCTTTGCTGCCGTGAGTTTACAACACCTGTGCTCACTCAATCTCATCATGGCAGTTAAACTGCGAGTGTAACCTTTCCTGTCATTTTTTTCCCACTGGCGGTAGATTTGCAGCAATCGCATAAAATCCCCAAATTGTCTTGGAGTGGCTCCCTTTTTGCCGAAGAATGATGAGATGGAAAATTGCGGAGGCCATTGAATTAACATTTCAATGTGGGCAAGAGGCGAGAGAGGATAATAGTGACAGCCCTAACGACCTCCTTCATCCTCGAGCATCCCAAAGGGTCCAAATTAGATTGGGGAGGAACACAATCAAGCTAATGTGTGTTTTCCACAAATTGACAAAGTGAAGCGAAATCCCCATTGATGGCGGTAATTCCTCCTCCTCAGCGCTGCAGTGGAACCTTTCATTTTGATGGGGAACAGCCCACTCGCTTGAGCTCCTTGAATATCCACATTTGAACGAGGGGATTTATTCCATCATCTGTGCTAACACAGAGCACTCTGGTCCCTCTTTCTCCTTCCTCCTAATTGGTGGTTCTGATAGCCTGTAATTGTCTGGCGCTTTTGAATGTGGTGGTTTGTCCATCTAAATGCCTGCGGACTTACGGCTGCTTTGGAAACGTTGGAAACTCAAAATCAAATGTCCTCAAGTTTTAACAGTTGGGAATTTGACACAAAGTTATTCAATTTGCAGGTGCACTTATTTTTGCACTTTGGTCTGACAGTTGAACTGGTTGTAGAGTTCAGAAAAGTTTCATTCTTTTCATTGCCAGTATTTCCTGTGAAAGAAATTTGATCATCGGATCGGGACACACAACCCTGAAATTATTGTGTTCAACCCCATATGTTCCAATTTGCTTACTGCAGATTTAATCATCTCATTGTATTATTACCGGTACACACTGTATACCCAACAAATTGATGAATTGCTAGTTTTGAAGTCAGAAGTCAAGGATAGTTGGTTCAATTATTTTTTACTTATTGTACAAAGGGTCACAAAAAAAAAATCTCAACATTGTTATTTATTACACATGACATGTTGACAATTTTGAGAGAGATTTTAGCAAGGGTAATCACTTGTTAGATGTACATTGGAGGCTCTATATAAGCTGTGAATGTTTGAGGTTGGGCGAGAGTCGGGGTGCACCCTGGACGGGTTGCCACTCAATCACAAGATCCATGTAAACAAACAAACATTGACATTCAAAATTTACGGTAGGGATAGGCGAGTCCTGATACCTCATCTATCGGTATCAGGCGTATACCAGCCTTAGTTATATTTCAGGTATCGGATGGTCCTGGAGGCTGCAGATACCAGTCACCGATACCCACGGCAAAAAAAAATATATATATATATCTGACATCAAGTTCTCCACTACAGTAGGTGGCGCTCTGATGCGGCAGTTTAACAAAACAGCAAATCATCATATCGGTCATAAAAAGGGTTTTGTTGACAATTTCATGTCATTGTGTTAAATACAATTTTACGTATCAAAAGTACAAGAGGGATCTGTACTTGATATCGGTGAGCATTCAATGAGTGAATACGCGTACTGGTATCCACTTGAAAAAAAGTGGCATCAAGCACACTTAATTTAGGGGTGTCAATGACCCAAACACAAACGTGTTTGGCATATGGGGGACAAAACCCATACAAGCAAAGGGAGAACACGCAAACCCCATAGAGGAGCCCAGAACCTCTCGGCTGTGAGGCGGACATGAAAAGCAGCTATGCTAACCGCACAGCTGTGCAGCCTGAGTTTAAAATGCATTGAAAAATAACCAAATGTAAAAATAGCCCTGCTTGTGGGGGCATGGCCTTCAAGGCACACACAGCTCACTGGAAATGTAACATTCCTTTCATGTACGGTAGTCACATTTTGACCACCCCCCCCCCACCCCCAGCCCTCGCCTACGCTCGCTCTCTCTCTTTTCAACCGGCACAATGGAAGCTTTTTACCCACCGAGACCTTGCTCCCCAGTCACACACAAGCGCTAGTGTTCACATGAGGACACGCACAAGCGCACACCAGATTTTGTGAGCGCGGGCTTGACTTTGCAATGCACCTGTCCAAGTGTGTTTGGAGAAGTGATTACAGACTTTTAAAAGGTGGGGTGGGGAACCGTCTTGTTTTTTGAGACCATTTAAATCCACAGAGGTCCTAAATTCCAAAACAAATATTACAAATATAGACATCGTGACTGCGATTGGCTGGCGACCAGTTCAGGGTTTTCCCCCCGCCTCCTGCCCGAAGACAGCTAGGATAAGATCCAGGACGCTCATGACACTCGTGAGGATAAAGTCGTTCAGAGAATGAATTTGAACCCACGACCTATCAGGTAATTCACTCAAATGAGGCCCAATCAAAACCAGGAAGCCTGGCGAGACGAGCAATGTTAAATTGCCAAGCTTTTTTGTCTCTGTCATCTAACGTGTTTGAAAATGATGTGCCTTTGCATTTATAAATTGTAAAGTATGTTAATTATAACCGCCAAAGATATACTTGTATGAGGCAGATGATGTCTATGTGTGTGTATATATATATGAGGTCGCCTGAAACGGACAAAAAAAAAAAAAAAACATTGCCTTCCCAGGTTGCATTTTAAATTGTTCTCCAAGTCGTTGTCCTGTCTCTAGTCAACTTAAGAGTTCCTTTCTCCCGCCCCTGCCCCCTGACAGTTAACACCACTGATTGCAGCTTTC